GAAAAGGTGGGATCAGGCCACACAGGTGAAGGGGGGGGGGGGAGGGGAGAAGAGAACGACGACTCAGGACCATAGAAGTGAATGGGTGCATCAGGGCTCAGGACCATGGACGTGAAGGGGGCGTTGGGCTCAGGTCATCCCCCCACCTGTGCCTGAATTGATCAGGTTGCTGATATATTAGTAATATCGATCACATATATTCTAATAGCACTTTCCAGGTACAAACGCAATCATTGGGGCTCAGGTCACAACCCACCTGTGTCTGCACTGATCTTGCCGGCGTTCAGGGTACTGATGAGCTCTCCCAGGCTCTTCTTATCTCCGTTCAGCTTCCAGTTTCCCCCCACGAAGAACTTCCTTGGAGACATGATGGCTGTGCTGGAGGTGTCGGGATCTCAATGAATCGGGTGCGGTGATAGCAGAAGTACAGACTGCGTGCGAAGCCTTTAAATAAGAACCGGGGGACACGCCCCTTCTCCTGGGCAAAGGTTCCAACCGCTCCGCCCACTGACGCTTTGACAGATGACACACGCCCCGCTCCTCGGGGCGCCATCTTTAGTGTGGGCAAGGCATGCCAATTTGCAGCGGGGCCTTAATTATAGATGTTCTGCTTTTATAATTATGTGCCGGGCTGATAGGGATAGATAGAAACATAGATACGGGGTGAAGATATGATGGTGAACTGAGAGAAATGGAGCGGGTACCCCAGATCAGAGGAGGAGGACTTGTTTTCAATGTATATTTAGGGCAGGGGTGGACAATTCATTTTAAAGGAGATCCACATAGGAAACTGGGACGGCTGTAGAGGGTTGAAACAATTAACGCATGGTACCGTGCAATGCACCGATTGTGCATTACCGTTTGGCAGGTGTGTTGCATTACCATTCATTTGAATGGCACCCCCTGGCCGCAATGCCATTGACTACGCCCCAACATGCGGTACTGTAATACTGTGCATTGTGGGGCATTTGAAAAACAATTAGTGGATGTAATGCACATGCCGTACTATAATGTACAGTAAGTGTGTTGCGCACCGCTCCGGGTGTTACCCAGCCTCGGGACGCCCCTGCTTTCACTAAACATTCACTGGTGGTGAATCAATCACTGTCATTCATAACATGACGCAGGAAAATTCTCCTTTAGTAAATGTCTAAAGAATGTGAGACCGGAGAGGTGAATAACATTGATCTCATGACAATGGCACCTGGAATTGGGGGATATATTACAATGGCACCAGGAAGTGGGGGGAATATATTACAATGACACCTGGAAGTGGGGGGAATATATTACAATGACACCTGGAAGTGGGGGGAATATATTACAATGAAAAAAATGTCCCTGAAGTTGATGTGTTGGAAGCAGAAACAATGGTCAAGTGTGAGGATGTGAGGGACTCTGACGAGGTCCTAATTGTGATGTCTAGCCGACGGGTCAGAGTAACTCCAAAACTGCAGCTCTTGTGGGATGTTCCCAGTCTGCAGTGGTCTGGACCAACCAAAAGTGGTACAAGGAAAGCCGGTGAACCAGCAACAGGGTCATGGGCAGCCAAGGCTCATCGATGGTATTCCCTGATGGCAGTGGCCTCTTTCAGCAGGATCACCTCACAATTTACAGGACTTAAAGGATCTTCTACTGACGGCTTGCTGCCAGATACCACAGCGTACCTTCAGAGGTCTAGTGGGGTCCATGTCTGGACGGGTCAGGAAAAGGGGGACCTACTCAATGTTAGGCGGGTGGTCACGATAATATGTCTGATCAGTGTATATATCCAATCAGTTGGCGCTATGCCTTACTGCTGGGCTTCCAAGATTTGTACCAGAATGATATTTTGCATGGAGAAAATCGTAGAATTTAATCGCAAGTGTCAACATCGACCAACCCTACCTATAGCAACATACTGAAAAACATACTACATTCTAATTCTTGGTGGTTTAGTTATATCGGTTTGGTCAGTATTGCTATTTAAAAGGGTGGTACGTGGGCCGCTGTAAGAGCCGTGGGCCAGGTCTCCAGTGGGCTGCGAGCATAGGTAATAATCAAAAAGTAGTATTGCTGGATCATACTAACCCCCCCCCCTGCTGCAAAGGTTAAACACTCATTAAGTCTAGGGGGGAAAAGTAAGAAGTTGCAATATTTACCTTCTTCCTTGCTCCAATGCTCTCCTCTGCCCTTCCAACGCACTGGGTTGTGGAGTGGAGGGGCCAGCGGCGTCCCTATGAGGCAGTCTGAGGCTGTTCCCTCAGGTGACCTCTCTTGGGGCCACATAGGGGCGGCGTTAGGAAAAGCAGCATGACTGCTCTGCTGCAAAATGTTTGTAGTGTGCCTGCCTCCCCCTTTCCGGCCAGAGCGTCCCAGGTTGCTAAGAGCTGGGTGGGGAGATGTGTAAGGGCCACAGACACATCTATCCGCCCAGCTCTTTGCAACCTGGTGCGCTCTTGCCGGCGTCTCGTTCCTGGCAACCAGTGATGTAACTGGTTGCCAGGAGCTCAGCAGGACACCGGCCATAGCAATTCGAGTTGCCAAATGCTGGGTGGGAAGATGCAGAGCCCTTACACATATCACCGCCTGGCTCTTAGCGGGGTCACTCTCCACCAGCACCAAAAGTGAAGACAATCATCTAACTGCTGGCCAGAGCACCTTAGAATAGAGACTACAGGGGACCAGTCAAGCAAAACAAATGGCAAACGCACTCATCAATTCATTACCAGCTTCACAGCAAGGTGCACATGGAAGGGCTTAATACTGTACAACAGCAAAAAGTTTCCCAGCACACTCACCAGCCAGCATGCAAAAAAACTCCATGTGCACCTTGCTGGAAAGCTGGTAATGAATTGATGAGTGCGTTTGCCATTTGTTTTGCTTGTCTGAATTGGTGGAGTGACGTATAGGGGGGCCTCAACTGCTGTTGTGATGTGCGGGGTCCTTTGTGCGTCCCTGTGCCTTTAACCCCTTCGTGACTGCGGTAACAGCTTTTAAAGCGTCGCCTATGGCCAATTTTGGGTATTATCGTTTTTTGAGGTTTCGCGCGCGCACGCAATTTTAAGGCTTGACATGTTTAGTGTCTTTTTACCCGACGTGACCCCGTCTTTTATATTTTACCAAAAAATTGGGTAATAATAAATGTTTTATCATTTAATATAGGGGAAACTGTTTTTTTTTTTAAATTTCGGTAATTTTTCCTTAGGGCATGTTTGAAAACCAGACGAAAATCTTACGATTTTCGGCTGATTTGTGGCATGCTCGGGAGACAAATGCCTGTTCAGCGGAAGCCCGCCCCTCAGGGGGGCGGGCTTGCGACGACCGCAAGTACGATCTGCCTGTCCAAGCTGGGCAGATCGTACGTTTTTTAAATTTGTAAGTTTTTTAAAAGACAAAAGTCTTGCGAGGGTAGTAAAGTGTATGGCCACCTTTGGGACCGCACTATTTAGAGGTGCCATGGGACGGCTGTGCGGCTTTCACATTATCTACAGAAGACGTGTATCTAAACCCTGAGACAAGTATTTTTTCATGCTGGCTGGTGAGTGTGCTGGGAAACTTTTGGCTGTACTACAGGGGACCAGTCGCACAGATGGAAGAAGCCTGCGGAAGCGACAAATAAGGTACCTCACTTTATTCCTCTACCCAAAGACTTCACAATTAACCATTGCAGAGACGCCCCCCACTGCAAGGGGACCTTTTAACTTCCTGGAGTAGGGCTTCAAGTTTGGTTGCATGCTTATTCCTGGATCACAGACTCCAAAAGTGGGGAAACTGAGCTGGATGACAACACTGGAGCCCGCACCCAAGTGCGTGTTGGCAGCTTCCTTATGTTTAGAATGAAAGGTTCCTTTATTTGGAATGCAGATGGTGAAACAAGAATCCTTAACCGAAGCCAAAAGAAACAAACAGGGCTGTATTCATAGTTTTCCATGATTAAGGGCCCATGGCACACTTGTGATCCAGGAAGGCCCGAGAAATAAACCATTTCCACAATGTCACTCCCTCGCTGAGTCAGGTTTGGCTCCCTTGCTGATGGAACATTGCTTAGTGACCAAGTTCTAATGACGGTTATACGTTTCTCATTGTAAACTTATCGTGATAGGTTTGAATAGACTGGCCGTCATCTTCTCAATCAATTAGTAGAATAGATCACCAGCACACCGTGGTCAGATCTTCAGAAAGTGATCATTTTATTGATGAACACACATCTGGTCACATTGCAACGTTTCGGGGGTCACTTCCTCAGGCACGACCACGGCGTGCTGGCGATAGATTTTACTACTTGAATCTAAGGCTGGGCTCACACCTAGGCGTACGGAATATGTGCGTTTGCCGCACTTTTTTACCGCGATCTGCGGTAAAAGCACACGACAAACGCACGTTTCCGAGGGCTATACGACTGTATCCCAATGGATACGCGCGGCAAATACGCCCCAAAGAAGCTCCTGTACTTCTTTGGGCGTAGGGCGTTTTGCAGCGCGTTCCTACGCGCTGTAAAACGCCCAGGTGTGAACCATGCCCATAGGCAATCATTGGTTTTCACATGTTGAGCGTTTTACAGAGCGTTGGAACCCGCTGTAAAATGCCCAGGTGTGAACCAGGCCTTAAGCGGCGCCATCCATAGTCACTACAGCACCCACCGCAAGGGACATGCCAGTAAGGAGTGCGGTAAGATGCGCCTGTACCTTCTTAATTAATGACAGCTGATGCCGGATCCTCCTATTCGGGGAGGGATGTGTACAATATCAAAGTTAAGCGGGAAATCACTGGACATCAGTCTACGAGTAAGAGCTAATTGGCATGAAACATGTAAGGCTTTGCCATTTTCTGTACAGGACGCCAGGAATGGGTCCTGGATGGACGGTATATCCCTCCCTTGTTTAGGTGGTGGTCCCGTTAAGGTCACCTTGTATTCAGGGTTCTCGCCAAGCAGGGTGAGGGGGTTCCGGGTCGGACTTGTAAGGGAAACTGCTAGGCAGTCATGCCAGAGTTGTTAAATGTACATGGGTCCCGGAATCCGGAGGCTCAGAGAGATTTTTGGATGGGACAGAGCCCCCATCCCTGACTACAGCCAGTTCTGCTAATGAAAGGGTTAACCTACCACCCAGAGGGTGTGTTAAAAGGGAACAGGAAGCCAGTCAGTCTGTGAGGAGTGTTTGGAGCAGGACACATGGCTGTGTGTATTAAGCTGCGGAATACAGTCTACCGAGACACTGCTGGGGCACTTGTGTCCATACTGGAACCCTTTGTGAGCAGGCTGGGACTCTAACCCTGAGGCTGGGACTTAGCATACAGGCGCTGAGCCGAATCTTGTATTTGCTGAATATAAGCCATTTTATTTGATTGTTTGTGGATAAGATTAAAGGTTTGTTTGCGGATACGGCTGCCTACGGGTCATAATCCGCCCTGGATATATGCAGCAAGCACAGTTTTTGTGCCGTCTGCATACCCTTGCTCTATAGGCTTGGTTCTCAACTGGTGTGTCGTGACCCAAAAGTGGGTCGAGAGCCCCTGTGCAGAGGGTCTCCTAAGCCTCCCCTAGCACAGCGCTGTCAGTTCTTTCGCCAAGCAGCCATTTAAAATATGCTGCCCGGTGCCGAGTGTCAGCTTATGGTGGGATGGGTCGATGGCTGCGAGAACGTTCCATCCATACATGCATTGCTTACAGCTCCCACTTATGTCCTATAGGAGGTGCCTGGACCAGAGTGACGTCACATTCTGGCTTCTGGAACCTCTACAGGGCGCGCAATGGAGCTGTACAAGCAATGCACATATGGAGGGAGCGCCTTCACAACAGACCCACACTGGGCCCCAGCCTGAGGATCCGCTCCAGTTCTCGTAAGGTAAGGAGACTGGCTGCACCTTAAAAAAATTACATTTTTTGGCGTGTGTCTGTGGTTGTGTATGTCAGTGTTTTTGGGGCCCCGTTCACACTAGTACAGTGCGTTAATAACATAGTATCGTGCATTTAACATACAGTACCACGCAATCGCACCTACCGTGCATTCTGGTGTGGAAGGTGTGTTGCGTTGCCATTCATTTGAATGGTACCCCAAAACGCACCTCCCACCCAGAGCTCATACACCCACAGCGGAACGCCCAGTACCCTAATTCCGTGCATTGCGCTGCGACTTGGTTCACGACTTAAAGTGACATTAAACCCTCAGATTTTTTTAACATAAAACAATACTGTAATGTGCGGCTTACTGTAATCCATGGCTGTTTCCCTTCTCTTTGCTGCTCTTCCTTTTAAATCTATCTGTTCTCATGCTGGCGGAGAACTTCTGTTTTGCAGCAGACTGCCTTGTCTCAGGAATGGATACATGGTGTCTGTGTATAGGTTTGTACAGGCTTGTAACCTGAGCCAGCACTACAGGAAGAGGCCCTGAGCTGAAAAGGGAAGTTCTCCCCAAGCATGAGAAGATATGAGGATTTAAAAGGAAGAGCAGCAAAGAGAAAGGAAACAACCATGGATTACAGTAAGGCACACATTACAGTATTGGTTTATGTTAAAAAAAATCTGGAGGGTTTAATGTCACTTTAATGATCAAGGACAAAATGTGGGTCCTGAGGTTACACAGGTTGAGAACCAGTGCTCTATAGCAACCCAGGTACTGGCAGCGACAGGATAACAAGTGTGTCATGGCCCTTAGGTAAATATGGGAGGCTGTTTTACTTCACCTCAGCTGCAGTGGGCTTAGAAAAACATTATCAGAACAGTTATTTCTTCTTTTATTCATGTTCGATCCGCTGCTATGTGACAGTTCAATGCAACCCAATCTAAAATGCCATTTTACATCCTTACCTCCTGGATTCTTGTATATTCCAGAGACATCGCAGTACCTGTGTTCCCAGCTCCGCCCACTCATCACCAGGAAGGAGGCGTCCAGGACGGGCAGAGGCACAGCCAGGTATTCTAGTGAGGAGATGCTGCTAAAGATCAGTTTACGTTGGACTGATACCTCAAGGGAACCTTTTATGTCAGAAACATATGGGAGCTGCCATAGCTGACTTCATAAAAGCTGCAAGGTCCGGGGCTTCCACCTTGATCCAGACATGGGACAAGTGTTCTGAAGGCGGCTTTAAAAGGTTCTCAGACATCACGGAATACAAGCCAAGTGCCTCATTAAGCCAGAAATGGCAGTTCCCTAGTAGAGGGCAGAGCGTCCTCTATACCCAATCAGATCACGCAGAGTCCTGCCCCTAGCGCATTTCCAGTCCAATAACCCAGTGCAGAAACGGTACGACTGCCTTCCAGTCGGGCCCGTTGGCTGCGGTAGGTTTCGGGAAGAAGTGCATTGATGGGAGGGGAGAGTCGGGAGATACCAAAAGCTCTTGTGAAAAGGACAAGAACAATCTCGCTCAAATTAATCATGAACACAGCCACCTTCAAGCCTTGCGGAAATGGGATACCCTCCATCCCCACCCCCCCCTCTCTCTCTGGGAGGGAGATCCAGGGGCATAATACATATATGGCAGGGGGAGGGGGATTAACTGTGCACGCGCTGGTAGAAGTAAATGTAGCCCAGGTCTTTGGGAGGCTTTTCAGACGCACAGACCTTTTGGTCATTGTAGATCACCCACCTGGGGAAGAGAAGACAAGACGACTGTCAGATTGGAAAATGCAACAAAAATCAGGAGAGAGTTAGAAAAACATGTCGGGTCTGAACCATAAATCCTGCATTCCCTTTGGACAGAGGTTCTTTGAGGAGACTCTGTTACCAAATTAAACATTTGCAGGTAAGCACACAGAAATTCAAGTATTCTCAATGCTTACTTGCAGCGTTTTTCCTTTACAGAAATCATTTTCATTCACATGTGCCTTTAAAACATGCTAGAAAATCTGACTCCTCCAGGAAGAGTCAATAACCTAGCACGACCCTGCCCCTCCTTGCATGCCATACCTCCCTACTCTTCTGGGAAAGTCACATTACTCTCTGTGCTGGCCCAGCCCCTTTATGCATATACTGGGGCAGGAGCAAAGAGGAATACTACAGAGCAGGGGTAGGCAAACTTCAGCCCTACAGCTGTGATTATACTAGAAATCCCATCATGCATCTGCCTCTGGAAGTCCTTCCTGTGACTGTCAGAGTCTTGCAGTGCCTAATGGGATATGTAGTTGCACCACAGCTGGGAGGCTGAAATTTGGCTACCCCTGCTTTAGATGGTTTGTCAAGGTTGTTTATAGGCAAATATCAGATCTTCCAACACAGAAATTGTTTGGATTCCCTCACTCACAATTTTCTTTAAGATATACTGCTCTTATGACTACCTTTTCTAGAAGGCTTAAACATTCACAT